AAAAAACTGATAGAAATTTATTGTTGAATTGTAAAAAGAAGTTATAATTATTCCGTTCATAATGTTACAGTTTTATTCGCATGCCAATTTTCCGTGAAAGCTGCTCATTGTTATACCAAATGCTTGAACCGCCGATAACGGATAACGATAATCCATTGTAAACTGCTCATCACTAATTCTTCCAAATTGCATGACAATGTAATCAGCTAAAAACAACAAAAAAACAAAAATAAGTTATAAAATTTTGTTTTTAAAAAAGGAAAGTTTACTCTTAAGTTTTTAGCCACTGACAACGGTTGTACGATGTACAATAAAGTGTTAATCGAGGTGTATTTTGCACTAAAATTAAAACGTTCTTTGGCAAAAAATTTGTTTCAGCATTAGTAACAGTAACAAGAATAAACTTTGAACAAAAAATAAAAAAATTGAGGAAATTACAGAAAACTAACGATTATCGGGATGTATAATTTGGAAGTTTTTTACTGAGGCCATAGTGACTCTACCATGAAAATTGAGAACAAAGTTTTGAGTATCTAAAAAAATCATCTTTAATGAACTATCGCTAAACGTTTGTATATTTTTATTTTGATATGCTTTTATCAAACATCAATAAAATTGGTAATGCAGCTAAATGTTATCGGTAATAAATGAGTTGGGTTCTGACTTTATTTATCCCCTTCTGTTAGGTCTATCAAAACAAGCCAATTAGTTTTACGCATATAATTTAGCTAAGATTGTCCATCTCTTCATTACAGTTACTTCAAGAAATAAAATAAAAAGAGTCTAAAAAAAGCAACAGTTTGTTTGTCTCGGTGTTCACACTAGCGATATAATGCTTGAACTCTTAGACCTTCTAATTTAGTAGCTTTATTAAAATTTAAGCTCTACAGTTTTTTTTTGTAAAAACTTTTTGGTCTTATTGATAATCTGAATAAAGAATGCTGCTTCCAAACCTGTTTTAACTGATTTATAAGATCTAACAAAATTATTGTTTACAGGTGTATACCTTCATGCCAAATGGGTCGCTTATTATGCAGCACCACAATCTCATCGCACTTGCCCCTTTTCCATTTCTCCAACATGGAATCTTTTTCCTGAACCATCAAGTTTACCGTCTGCGATTTAAAAATACCCGCCAGCAAAACAAATAAAAAAAATAAGGATAATTTTTTTTCATCATTTAAGTTCACTTATTTATTCTGACAACACAAACCGAAGTCGGACGAATTTGTTTACGGCAATAATTTTCAGCATCATAAATTCCTGGAATAAGCACCGTCATTTTACGTGGCCCTTTCAATCCCATTAAATTTACTTCCTAAAAATTAAAAATTTACTGTTTAGGCAATAATAGCTGACACATTTGGTTATCAAAATACCATAAGGTAAAAAAGAAAAATACAAATAAAATTTTTAGAATACTAATTTGAATGACTCACGAAAAATTTGGTTTAAAAAGCTGATTTTTACAAGGATTACAATTTTGGTCTGCAAATGAAGGCTTACATTAGAGTAAAAAGTTTACAGTTATAAACTAGTTTAGAAATACAGTGAAATTTAGATGCGTTTACCTCATCAAAAAATTTTTTGTTACTTTTGACACTCTACCTAAAGCAGTTGAAAAATATGAGTTAAAAAAACTTAGGAGAAAATACGGTAAATATAGAGGGAGAAAAGATTGAAAAATATGAAGTTTGGGAAGACTGAAAAAGAAGATACAGAATGGAAGAAGTACAGAATTTGCAAAAGAATGATTGATTTATATTTTTGGATGAAGAAAAATATTTAAAATGACTAACATAAACTACAGCTGCTAATTCTTGTCGTAAATTGTCGTTATTTTTTACGTCTTTTTTTGGATTTTTACCATTATCATAAATAGTAAACTGTGTTCCCAAAGCATTGGACCTGCAAAAAAAATGCACTTTGATGCCAATAATTATTTTTGATCATTATTAGTAGAGGTGCTACTTTGTATTAACGATAACTAAAAATTATCATCCAAGCAAATTTTGTTAACAATTCAAAACAGAACAGTTTGGAGAAAATGAGATTGGTAAGCTGAAGATATACATTAAAAAACCTTCAAAAAAGCGTATAAGATACCTAACTTTAGCGATAAACGAATTACCAACTCGGCTCATATCAGTGGGATCGACAGAGATTAAGTAATTGGCAGTTTTACTTTTTTTACGTTTTCGTGCCGCTAAGAGAAAAATCTTAAAAAGAAAAATTGTTCTAAAAATAGAGTACAAACACTTGTTTCAGTAAAATTCATTAAACTTCTCAATTCTAAACTGCTGATTGACTTAAATAACTCTATTTTAGATTAAAGTTCACTCTTAAATAGAGCAAAAAAGGTATAACAAGATATATCTAGTCATAATTCGAATATTGCTGCTAATTTAAGCCTACTGCTGCGAATAATAATGACAAGAAATAGTCAGAATAAATAAATGGTTACTCGATTTTTTTGGTCTTGTTCCAGGTGTAAATAATAGGTTGGATATATACCACGATCTACGCCTTTTTTGTCTCTAGTTATCCGACACCGATAGGTCATATCCCGTAACGCTGGTGTCATAACAAATTGAGGTAGATTTTGAATAATGTCATTGATGTTCGGTTCAATATTTCCTAAACAAAAAATTATTGAATAATAAAAGATCAAAGAAAAATGAGGAAAAAAAAAGAGGCAAAACTAAGTCAACTTTTTTTTATTGTTTGATTGTTTTACGCTGTTACAATTAAGTAATTTTTGATCAACATGACATCTGTTACGGCTATCAATTGACGGCATTGTGAATTGTCTATTGAATAAAAAGTGGAAACGAATAATCTTTGAAGTCATAATAAATTTTTAGCATAAAAGACATTTTCATATTCAAGAATATTCAATTTGGTTCCTTCTCATCGAACTTTAGTTTTTTTTTTTTTTGAACTTAAAAAATGCACTTCGATAATTGTCGCATTCAAAAAAATAATTCTACGCCGACAAATAAATCTGAACAAAGCAACGACTTATTGCTAACAACATAGATTACAATGCATCTGTACTGATAAATAAAAATTTTTTCTACCAATGTTGCTTTCTTTTGCTGTTAAATAAAGCTTTAGTTACTACATTAAAACTATTAATCGTTACAACGATAACACAGTATAGTATGAAAACAAAAAATGTACTGCAGATAAGTTCTGGTCAAAAAACTGATATTCCTTAATAACTAGCAAAAGTTTTTATCGTACTACTGGAAAAGTTTTAGAAGGATAAAAGGTTTTGTCAACATTTTAATGACAGCGTTAATAATAATGTAAAAATAGTTTGTTAATATTCAGAGCGCTTACACAAATTTACACTGAGATATTTTTAATTTTAGTTTAAGATTCAACAATTTTTATTCAGGTCTGATTTTTTTGCATGCGTCATTAATATTTGAGTTTTGTTAATCAGTAATACTTGTTACTGAATTTGCTATTCAAAAATGTCGTTTAATATATTCTGCTTTTTAAGCAGTAAAAAATTATAAAGATCACAAACAGACACATACGAAGATTCTAATTTGCGCAAACAGTGTATAATACAACAGAAGAAGACAGACTCAAGCCTAAACTGTTCTTAAGATAATAACTAAATCTGTAATTACTATCGATCATCGTCCATATTCTTAACTTTAACAAAAACAAGATAAAAACTACCTTTAAATGAAGCTTCATCTAATATTCTTTATAATTCCTGATTAGTATGTGTACCGCACATGTTTTTTTATTTCGCTTCAACTGTTTTGTGACTAAACGAAGGACTATCAAAAGTGAATGCAAAAAAAAGAATTGGTTTATCAACATGAGCGAAAAAAAAGCCAAAAAATCAACTGAACCCTTATTTGCTATAACAGTCAAGAAATCTTAGGAATAATCAGCTTAGATTTTTTCACAAGTTATCACTCGTTTGCTTCAGTTACTGACTGATTTTTCAATTAAATTTTTACTGACATCTGACTCTTACTCTGCTAAAGCTGAACTGTATAAGTAAAACAGAAGATTAATAAATTTTAAACAGGCGGTTCAATTGTCCACCATCAAATTTACACTTAACAAAATTTATTCTAACAAACCCTGCACTTTTTCTTTATCCAAATGAGTAATCATTTGTATTTTAAGTGAATTTATTGCAAAAAAAAAACACATATGAAAAGAGAAAAGATGAAAAAAATGAAAAAAAAAATTGATCTTTATATCCGACTAACTCCTCTATCCCCTCCCCCAAAAAATGTTAAGTATAAATTCCCCAACAGAGAACTGACGAACGTTGAT